GAAGGGCCATTCCTTCTTAGTGATGTGTATGTTTAACTTGCACTTTAAACACGTACTACAATACCCTCATCTGGAACACGTTTAGTCCATTAGGAACGTGATGTCAAGAACCAAAAGACGAGAAGTGTATCGCGTGAAGGGCAATTTCGTGTTGTGTTTGTAAAATCTTCAAAAAAATTTTTTTGGGTCACAATCGCACAGCTTGGAATGGAACTAAGAAATACCTGGATATAACAATATGTATATAATTTCACAATGATTGATGATCACGTGAGAATCTGAATTTTCAATCGCTTTCCTCCGAACACTGTCATTTGGGTAGAAAAGCGACCTATGGCGGGTGCTACCAGTAGAGCGGGTATGTCTTACTCCTGTCATCACTGATTTTCAGTGACCCTTTCCTTTAATTTTTATCACTGTTGTGACTTCCCTATGGAATCTGTTTTCGCAGATAATCGATTCTGATCATTATGAGGCGTTTTGAATTCACCAACATCCCTATACTGTTTGTCATGCTCCTTGTGCACCCGAGACATGTGTACATACAGCTTGTTTACATACATCACTTGGCTCGCTGTAATCATATATTTACAACTAAATCAATTTAATAGAGCTCAGCAAACACCAAGTATTCATGTCTGACTACGAGCATTGCTTGATATTGTATTGACACCTTTCGTCCTGGAAACAAATGTGTCCAAAAATGAAGAATATCCAAATGATAAGATGGCTATTGGTATAGATGTAATCCAACAATGGACTGTGCATATGGTATAGACTTTTTTTGATCATGGAAATGTTTTGGTCGCTTTATTTATCGAAACATTAAACACAAACAGTTCGTCAATAAACGGTTTTACAGACCTATAAAAAACCCTATGCTTCATCATTGTAATGGAGCTGAATAATGATATGGTAACATAAAAGTCGTTTTAATGGACATGCACTGTTGTAGAAGGGTCAGCATTCCGCTTTCCATACGATTATGTTATGATCGTCTGAACTGATACTCTTTCGCGATCATTCTTAAATCCAGATATTATTTAATCAATAATTCGAGAGCGTCCTAATGTGTTACGCTTAGCTTGTTCTGCTACAGAGACACAAGCATAAACACACCATAGTTATTCTGATTGTAATATGTACCTTACATGACCCGCGTTGATGTTTTTAATCGCAGCAGCTATATACCGTTATAAATTTTAAGTCTTGCACGTACGTGTTTATCGATTTTTAGAAACAGGGCTAGAATCTGTTGTGCTTGTGAGATAATTTGACTTCAGTGTGACATGCTATTCCTTTGAATCAATGACAATGCTTTTTCCGTAACAATATAGATTAATTTCACCGTGTTTTTTATTGGACGAAATAAACTCCAGGGAGTCTGTTCAATTAGGTAACAGCACCCGCACAATCTTACATATGTGTTTGCTTTGCCTGACTAATGTCGCAACAATCAATACTTCTGTCATAGAATGGGAGCTTGGACCAGACAATCCAGTGAACATGAGCATTGATCCACGTAATTACATGTGCAAGGAAAACGATTTGGATAACGGTTATGCAGTAATCATTATCAGTACACTCAGTGCAACATAATATAAAACACCAACGCCAGAGAATAATTAGTCTCGATTATCTGCAGAAATCATTGAGCGTTAAAATGTTTTGTAACATGTGATGCTTTGAAGTTATTCCGGTTATACCACGGCCTGTAAAAAATCGAGTCAAACCAGTGATTGATATTATGAGCAACATCCCACGTCTTTAGGGTACGATGACACACATTCAACCAAGTTTTTGAATGTGACCTCCCGATTCAATTTAGACGCCTCATATGACAAGCATAGGTCACTATGCACTAGTTCTTTCTCTCAACAATCACGTGAAGAAGTGAAAATATAGATAAAACCTTCTATCGAATCCGTGGTCTGGTGGTAGAGCGTCATACCAAATGATTGTACTCGTTGTTACCCAGCCTGGCGCTTGGCATTAAGGGGCTAAAACAAGGGCTGGTCGGCTCGGAGTCATAAAACTGTGTCTGTGTGGGGTATTCATGTTATATTGCACCATGGTATCTGAGTGGGCTAGAACTATAACATCGGCCTTAGTCCCGACTAGTACAAGAAGTCACACACACACACACACACACACACACACACACACACACACACACACGCACGCACGCACGCACGCACGCACACACACACGCACGCACGCACGCACGCACGCAAGCACACACACACATGCACATCGTTTAATGAGTGCAATAATCTTGAACGCGATGTTAAACCCCATTTCATCTCACCTTCCACCACACATCATCCTTGAAAAATAAACAATCAAACAAAATTAATCGAAGGTGAAACGCATATTTATAGAGAGATTTGTCTTAAAGGGCAATCTCAGATGGTGGCCACTGTCCAGAAACAATGAGTAAAATTGCACAGTTACGAAAATCGTTTAATGACATGTCAGCCACATTTAGTCCAACACATATTTGAACAGAACGCTCCTTTAAACAAAGGCAAATAATATATTATTTAATTTATGCTTCCCTTTTGATCATAGCGACATACAAATGAAAACTCAAATATGCACACATTGTATTATTATTTGGAAATCAACAGTACATGCTGAAATTTTATTTGCTGACATACATGTTTATCACATAATGGCTCGGTTAATCGGCAGGATGAAGCCAACGGATAAATACGGTATCCATTGGAGTCATATACGGATATAGATGCAAATCAGGTCAGGCAGATACTGCTTTTAGTGTTTACAAATAATTAGGGCGTCGCCCTTGTCAGTCGGCCATCAAGTCAGAATTAACAATCGGGAATCAGGAGAAATTACTGGGATAATCGTTATCATTATCAAAACAATACGACACTGAAAATCAGTGTCTAACTGGGACATAGCTGAGGCATTTTACAAGTTTCAGCAACTTTGGAGATATAGATTGTAAAACAATTTAGCGAGAACAGTTTAGAATTTAGAGGGATCAGTTTCCATATCAGTGTTTGAAGACCACTGCGGCCTTCGATCTTTTCCCTTATTAAAACTAGTTGGATTTGGCCGAAATATATTCGTATTGTGACATGGTTTATAATGTCGCTGTATGTAAATCTTACTCAGAGTGGCTCGGCATTTCGTAACGTTATGACAGGCAAGGCAGACTCTTAACAAACGCGAGGTCTCATAGGCTAGGGTAACTTCTCTTTTATTTGATAAAGGGAAATTACTAAATACAGGTTTCAGATGGAACTGAATATGTTGTCACTGAACGACTGACAAATCATTGACCTTGTGACGTAATATATATATACATGCGTACACCTCCAGAAAAAAACCTGCAATGTTTAGGTCCCGTTTGTGAGAGAACAGTGTTTTTCGACGACATAATTTAAGAATGACACATTTGATAAAGAGGTTATCAAGCTTGTGTTTTTTGGGATGGTAAATACGCCCCATAAGGAATGATCACAATGTTAATAGCTCCCCTAGGCTCGCTAAATACAATGTTTATTCCTGATATAGGATATAACTATCCCACAACACACTGGCGTGATAAACTTTATAACTTTTGATAGATTTGCCACTTGGATATTCAGATACTATTATATTATGATATTATGATTAAGAGTAAATGTTACCTGCGCTTATATTTACCCCTTTTTATGAAGTAATATCAAATTCAAAGTTATGTCCTGGCTTGAAAATAATATTCTCAAGAAAGTTAAAACAGCATTTGACATTTAAAATTTAACGCAACAATTGGTGAGGTGAGGTGAAATTGGGTTTAACGTCGCGTCCAAGATTATTTCACTTATATAGCGACGTGCATGCACGTGTGTATGTGGCTGCTCGTACTAGTCCGGACTGATGCCGATTTATAGTGCTAGCACACTGAGATACCACGCCGCAGTTCCGAGCCGACCAGTCCTTTTGTAGCCCCTAATAATGCCGAGCGCCAGACAGGGTAACACCAAGTACAATCGTTTAACGTCTTTAAGTATGACGCGGCTAGGGATCGAACCCCGGACGTTCCGCTCTCCGGGCGGACGCTCTACCTCTAGACCACGGAGGCGGTCAAACAATTGGTAATAAATGGAATAGCACTCAAGCGGAAGAAAGACCTTGCTTAACAGGTTCTCCAGGGAACATGTTACACTTTGAAGTTTTTGTACCAATACATCGTGTTTGTTACATGCGTCTAAATTGTAGTAACGAGTGTACAGTATATGACGTTCGAGAGGTAACCAGTGCGTCTTGTAAAGATCTGGTTCAAACTCGCCTTGCGTAAGCCTGCTATTGCACATGGATTTAAAAGTTGGAAGATAATAAAGACATGAACGTCTTTACAGATAACAACTTCTTTGTAGCTCGTCACGAATGGTGAAATTCACTCTTTAAGGGTAAAAAAGTAGGCTAGGAATTTATTTATAAATAATAAAGTTGTTATCCATTCATAGTTCATGTCTTTGTGATGCTGCACGTTTATGAACATATCCTAAACCTATATTTATCATATATACACATCTAGCTTGGCATGTACAATTCATTTATTACATCTTACCTTCATTGATGTATTTATTGTACCATGTCTTCTGTGTAAAGGAGCGGTATTAACAAAAGCTTGTTTACCAATCCATTTTCACATTTCTGTGAAAATAAATATGTTTAAACCATATCCTAAACCTTTAATTCTTGTTAAGCCGTTTGTCTTAAAAACTTTCTCATGTCCGTTTTTACGCCCGTTGTCTAGAACGTGAGGCCATAGACAAATTCTTCGCCGGTAAATTCTTTTTGGAACAGAACGGTACTTAAATCAGTTGTTATCCATGGATAAACATATTCAATTACACTCTTTCTGACATCAAACGCAAATAGTTTTGTTTATTTAAATACTATTTATTAAACTATAAAATTTCTGTAATATTCAACAAATAAAGGAATGAAGTAAAATATAATTTTAGTAATTAACTCATACTTACCAGCTGCTACATGATATGCCAACACCACAAGCACAGATAAAGTTTCACTCCTCCCCATCCTGCTGCTCGCTGTCATCTGTGTCATATGATGACTACAGAGGCAATCTGTCGTCTTTGATGCCTCAGAGGATTCAGCGGACTCCTAACGGAGCGATCAATACTTGCTGAAACTAGTCAATATGTCGCCCTGCCAAAGAGCTCGTTTACTGACGTGATACCATTTATTGTTGTCGGAATTTAGCAAGTACGTTTCAAAATGTTCACACAATAGACTGCTGTGAAAGACACGTTACTCCAGGTCTTTCCTAATAGCTGTGATGATAGTGAGTCGGCTAAGCGCTTGTCACAAAGGGGTCGTTACAATAAAGGACATTGTCGACGGACACGTTTTGTGATGGGATAACAGTTTTATTGAATTGGATCTTGGGGAAAATTTTGTTACACAGAGGAAGAGGACGTGGTTATGTTATGTTATCAGGATATGTAGACCGAGTGTAGTATTTATGATCTTTTCAACCTTTTCAATCTTTCAACGTGGAGGATAAACCATACTGTTTCCATTAGCTGAACATCTAATAGAGCTCAAAAGTACATTCTTCAGTACCTGATATTGGAGATTACTCCCAGTTGAAATCGAAGCTGGCTTTCTTTCTTTCCACGTGCTTAGATCACAGAGTGTAACGAAAAATCGATTAAGGTATTTTCGTAACAATCACTGGACATGTCGACCGACGCAAGTGGCTCCATGGTACCTTTTGATCTTAACATTATTTTGCTGTCATTCGAAAATGTCTCTATAGAAATAAGATGCCACACCTTTTGGGACAGGTGTTAATGTGGTTTCTAAAGAAAAAGTTCATTATTTGTTGTTCTGAAAAGGGTAACACGATGCCAGAGTCCATTTCCGGTTCATTATTTAATGTATTCCTATCTTTTCAGTGAAGTGATGAAAACGTATTGGTCAAGTGACCTGGTTATGTCTCAAAGACATGTGTCTAAAAGTATTTAGGCGGCAGAGATAGCCTAGTTGCTAAAACGTTCGAATCGTCACACCGAAGGCCCGGGTTCGATTTTCCACATGGTCCAAATGTGTGAAGTCCATTTCTGGTGTCACCCGCCGTGATATTACTTGAATATTGCTAAAGAAGCGGGGTAAATCCTTACTCACCCTAAAATTGCGCACATATTGACAGAGAACACTTGCTGGCTATAACATAGAAATATACCCAACTACGAATACAATTTTGCGATTGGTAATGACGGACAAGAACATGTGTAATGAACTGTAAACAAGTGTTTCGGACCATCAAGCCTCAATTGTGTTATCTGGTTTTGAGAGAAGCGGCGTGCTGATATTGTACTTGGAAAACAACGTCAAAAAAGGCTGTTAGATACAGATACAGTTTATATTTTAAACCGGAAAATAATCACTATTTCATTTCTGAAAAGTAAGAACTCATTTCATAAAGAAGATCAGACTACAACAAAAATATTGAAATTTGTTTAAAAGTCAATACAAATCTATGAATATATTAGGTATTTATAATACATCAAATTTTCTCGATGCAGTCACAAAGTCTAATATTGCCCGCTGAATTGAACCATAAAACATGCCTTTGTCCTGAATATCAAATTTTCTCAATGCAGTCACGAAGTCTTATATTGCCTGCTGGATTGAACCAAAAAATATGCCTTGGCCCTGAAGTGTGATTAAAGAAAAAGAGCTTTCTTTCTCAAGTACTGCACTTCTTAAATTTAGTCTGATATGATTGTGGCCTTGGAATTCAATTAAATAACGTTTCACTGTCTTGGGAGTAGTTTCATCACACTGCGTACATAGCTCTTAATCAATGAGATTGCTGTAAGCATTTAATCCACAGTGTCCAAGACGAAGTCTAGTAATTATTGACGTTTTTTTCGTCGACGAATTGTCCAATTTGAGTTTACAGAAGAACAGACTTTGTTATATCCAGGGTCAATATTTCATAAACAATATCACTTCGGGAACCATTGATACCAGATTCGATCATTGCCTTCACATTAGCCATGGAGTCAATAAATATAACTGCCTCATGTTATTAACCCATCTTAGAGCTTGAAGAATAGCTATAAGTTCAGCAGCAAATACTGAGAGATGGTCATTTAGCCTGAACATACTTAAACGTAAAATTCTGGAATCCAGTATGCCCCAGCAGTTCGAAAAAAGGCCGAACCATTTAGGCATGAGCAAAAATGTGTGTGAAGTTACAAAACAATGAGATACAGCTTTTGACATTTTGACTCATTCTTTTGTTGATGGTTGAATTCAGATCATAACAAAGACCTATTTTCAGAAGCAGCCAAGTTTTTAAGGATCTGTGTCTGGAGATGCAGAGGAATCAATCGGGGTGAGCTTTCTGAATGCTCAACCTGCATTGACTTTGCCATGTGACAAGTCGCAAATCACAAACTTAACACAATCATTAAAAAATATCATAAGCTGAATCATAGTTGGTTTTAGATTTCAGTTTGCCATAATATTTGAGGGACATAAGTTTACGACGAAGGCCTAGGGGCATTTTCAGCATTCAACCGGGAGAGCTGAAACTGGGATAGCTGCAAAGGCTCCCGCGCAGATCCACAAAGCCTTTGACTGAATGCGGTCAAGTTTGGAAAGATGACATTTTGAGGCAGACATAAATTTCTGGGAGCCACAGTCAAGGATAGATAGTATAAAGTGTTAAATGGGCGTGTATTTTATTGTTTAACATTGATTGTAATTGAGCTACATTGTTTCTGTTGAAATTCGGTAGACGCTCATTGCATTGCGTTTGACAGGGGTCAGTCGTCAGAGGGTAGGTATATGTAGATGCTAGTGTGAAGTGTAAACACTACCGGTCCGGCATACTGCGGACGGTGATAGTATGTTATAGAAACATGGAGAATGTTCTATTTTTTGAGGGCACTTAGTGGAACTTTCCAGTATCTTGATAGACTATAAGAGGACAAGAGTGTGTTTACGTATCTCTCACCCATTTTCAGTCAAATGTATACCAGAAAAAGTCCCGACCAATGATAACTTGAATAGACCTTACAGAAAGAAATGAGCGATTCCATCTGTTGCCTTTTATCCCCGGATTCCGTAATTTGAAAAGAAGTCCTTGTCACAGGGTCATATCACATGCTTTTTCCATACCAAGAAAGACACACAACATATACTCTTGATTGAATAAGCTTTTTGTGCTTCAGTCTGGTGTCGTACATGATGATCAGTACATGAACGTCCCTTTCTGACTGTATTCTTGAGAGAGACCATGAGTGGATCTTTCCATTCTTTTACATAGATTGGAAGTTATATGAAGCAGGCATAGTTGGGTCCTTCACTGGTTTTGGTACTGGAACATTGAAGGCATGTTTCCAGGCTTCGGGAATAGTCACAGAACTCATTCCAACAAATGTTTAGAAGATTTTGGCTATTAAAAGAGCAGAACCAGGCATAGGCTTAAACATCTCATAATATCTATTCAAACTATACTCACACGCAAAAGAAACGCAAGTGGTTTTAAGCAAATAGGTAACAAACACGGAACCATAAATTGATACGAGTTTAGTATATAGTGAAGCCTGGCGGTGTTATCAATATTTTTGTTGCATTTTGGAAGCCCCGAGTAAAAACGCAACATAAAAACGAATCGCCAAAACGCACCTTTTCAATGAATATGTGGGTAGCACCCATTTCTCGCGAAATCGAAAATGCACGAACTGTCACGAACTGTAGTGGGTATAAAACTGTGGCCGTTTTTGGGACCTATCATTCCTTGTTCAACAATGCCACGCCTAACTCAGAGAAACCAGGCTATCGAACGTTTGGAAGCTGGAGAGTCTGCCCAAGATGATCCCCGTCATTTCAACGTTAACATAACCACAATTTACCGTCTCCTGCATCGATACAATGCCACACAGACCACAGATAACCTTCCTCGGAGCGGTCGTCCTAGGGTCACCACACCTCGACAAGATCGGCAGATTACCCGTCAACACCAGCGACATCCGTTCCTAACTGCAAGTGAAAGTGCTCGACAGACCATAGGAACACACAATCGACACATTAGCCGGGACACTGTGATCCGACGTCTCCGTTCCAACAACCTCAGATGTCGCCGACCAGCACGTCGTTCTGTTCTCCAACCCGACATCGACAAGCACGACTTCAGTGGGCACAGGGTCATCACAATTGGCGTCATCGTGAGTGGAGGCGTGTCATCTTCTCTGATGAAAGTCCCTTTTGTGTCTCCCATGCAGACGGAAGAGTAAGAATTTGACGGCGTCGAGGTGATCGTTTTGCTGACAGAAACGTTGTGGAAAGGGATCCATGGGGTGGACCTAGCGTCATGATATGGGCAGGGATTGGACTTAATGCCAGACTTGGACCCATGTGTTTTCTGAATGTTGGTCAAGGTCGGGGACACGGCGTTACTGCTCAGCGGTATATCGACCAAGTGATCAGACCCCACGTTGTTCCATTGTTTGCACAACATCAGCAACACATTTTCCAACAGGACACCGCTCGTCCCCATGTTGCCAGAGCTACCATGGCCTTTCTGCAACAACACAACATCCGTGTTCTGCCGTGGCCAGCCCTCAGCCCTGATCTGAACCCCATCGAACACTTGATGTGATGAGGTTCAAAGACGTCTGCACAATGTGCTCCCAGTCCCTACACCTGCCTATGAACTACGCACAGCTGCTCTGGATGTGTGCAGGGGAATCCCTAGGGCCTTCACAAATCGTCTGATCCTCTCAATGTACAGGAGATGTGTGGCAGTGATCAATGCTAATGGTGGTCACACCAGGTATTGACTGACATTTTGGGTATTGACCCGAAACTGTGTAAGCCCTTAACATTTGAAAAAAACAATTATGTCATCTGCCTTTTAATCCATTAAACTGTATTTAGTCAAATTTTTGTCAACCTTGCCCTATTAGTATTTCTTGTCTTTACTGTTGAAAATAAATAACACATATACTGCATACTCGACTTGCGTTTCTTTTGCGTGTGAGTATAGAATGCAGTTGTCATTCCCTGATCACATTCAAACCCAGCTCAGTACAATTGATAATCCTATTCAAATTATGTACGCGAATGTATTACTCCAGCTGACTATGGAAGGTGTCGAATTGGTAACGACGCAATAAAAATGTTAAATCCTTGTCCAATCATTAATACGCATTCTGATGCCTAAACGTGTATTGCATTGTTTATAATGAAAACATTTCAGATTATCAAAGCAAACTGATACAATATTCAGATAATCCAAGTATTTAATGTCTAAATGTGTTTTGATTGGAAGATATTATCAAATAAGAATATGCGATTAATCACTTAAAGACCTAAATGGTGTCACACAACGATCGACAGTTCTTTTGAAACTTATGATTGATTTCATTGCACGGTGATTCCATTTCTCCAAGACTCTGCGGGATATTGATAGAACGATCGTTTTCGACTGTAGTTCTGCTGTAAACGTACGTGCCTCGTATTGACGCGCGACATGGACGGGGTAACTAACCACTGGCTATGTCCACAGTTTTCAAGAACACGTTTTATGTTTAAAGTATGCGATTTGGGGATGTTCTGTTTCTGGCATGTATTATATGTCATACCGTGTTTTGTTTAAACATGCAAAGCCTTTGTTCCCTTTGGAGCTTAAACATAAACCCTAAGCACGTTTAGAGTTTAATATATCTGCATGTTGCACCCGTTTTATACCTTTGCACATTTGCAAAGTGTTTTGTGGTAGTAAATGTGGTAGTATCTTATGGACACGTCTCTAGTCCCTACTCCATCAGCACTGACTTTACTGGTTCGGTCACATCCACTACATTGAGGACGAGACAACACTGAAGGACCTCCTGTATAGTAACCTTGCTTCCAGCAAAAGGACACCTTCAAATACATGTACGTCTACAAGAGTGACGTCAGGTCACTGGACATTGAGAGAACCTCGCTCAAGAATAAAAGGCACAAGTTCCTAAAGACAATTCGATTATTCTGATTTATTCAAAACAAATTGAGCATGCGTTTATGTTGAAAACATTCAGCTCTTAAACATTAAGTAACCCAAATCCCGGCCCCTCATTCCTGTAAATCGTACGGTCAAACCCTGATTTGGAAACTTTTGGTAGCTCAGAATTGCTCACAAAGCAAATGCTTTTGCTTATATAGAGAAATAGACTTGTTGGTGTTCTGAAAAAATAACATGAAAACTTGTTCACACAGGTTTCATCGGAATAATGAATATATTGCAATATTCCCAGAAATATCCCAATGATATGACTGTTGTCTGTAAATGTCATAGGCAATATTTTAGCCATATTTTGGAAATTCAGAGAATGGAGAAAGCAGGTGTCATTACCAAAGTTTGCACACAGGATGGGCCATATACATTGTCCCTATGGTTATGCCAGATCAGTCAGTAAGAATATGAACAGATTCAACTGTGAATTCTGTGTTGAATCAGTATCAGATGAACAAGATTAAAGATATGTTTCCTCAAATTGCAGGTGAAGAGAAATTTCCAAAATTAATCTTCACATGCCTATCAGTAAATGGATGTTCATGCAGCTTCGCAGAATCCAACAGGGGTTTTATCATTACACAAGACTAGTAACTGGTATTACTCCTTCCCCTGCAATATTTCAGGCAACGATGGATCTGAAGGGATTAACCAAGATGCTATCTTGATATCTGGAAGAAATATAAATATACTCATGATTGTGTTTCAGCTGTGATCCGTGTTACTGTATGAAGCCCCTACTTTCTCTCAAAATGCATTTCCTTTCACTGCAGGCATCTTCACCTCTGAAATTATCATTCTGAAGAACATGTTGATAATTTAGTGTTACTTTAAAATAAATAAGTCCTCTCTATTTATGAAGGAAATACCTGCAACTTAGTTGACAAATGAATTGTTGACTGTATGTCAAGATGAGCTACAGTGCCGTGGCGCTATAATTGTTTTCATTTTCGTTTTCGATTTTTCTGAAATGACTTGCTGGATTCCGCTGACGGTCTAAAGCAAAATTATTCTTTTAAGAATATTCAAGGACAATTTGTTTTTTGTTGTTTGTTTTGTTGGTTGTTTTGTTTTGTTTTTGTTTGTTGTTGGTTTTTTTTGTTTGTTTTGTTTGTTTTTGGTTGTTGTTTTGTTTTGTTGTTGTTGTTGTTTGTTGTTGTTGTTGTTTTTTTGGGGGGGTGAAATCCCGATCGGTCACAGCATACTAAAACAGATTAACCAAACATTTTTTACATAACGCGACCTCAAGGTTACCAAAATGTCACACAACGTATAAAGAAAATCGTTTTAAATAAATAAATAAACTCGTTAAATAAAGCGGTCATGTGATGAACAAAAGTGAATCATGTGTATGTTATCTTTGGTAACTGACCCAGTCATATTTACCAGCTGCTACGTGATACCCCAACCGCACAAGCACGACTCTACTCCTCCCCATCGTGATGCTCGCTGTCCTCTGCATCAGTGTATGTACTGAACTGACTAGATATGAAAAAACTGTCGACCTTCGAGGATCCACCTTACTGCTGACAGGGCAATCAATACCAGTCAGTATATCGCCCAAGTGAGACTGCACGTCACTTATGATCATTCAGGAGTACTGCAGTGTGGCTTCAGGCAACAAACAAACCCTTATTTCTTATGCATGTTGTTAGAGTGACGGGTGCTACAGGTATGGCAGGGCATGCTTTCCCTTTTCGCGAACGTCTGGTACCAACACTGACACTTTCCATGTACGCTCTGCGCCAATTGGATTTTGTTTCGTTGAAAGGTGAAGAATGGTTGTCCTCTGGTGTTGATGTTTTATATGTATTCGAATATGTTTCACATCAAACCCGTTTCTGAGAAAATGGAAGTGGTGAACATTATTTTCAAAAAGATGTCAGGTCCAGTACAGTGCTTAGTTTCAAGAACCTTGCTTCAAATGCATTATTATCATGACAAAGATGTAGATTTTGTATTCTTCGACATTTTACTATTTTGTTTAATCTTTCATGCTGTGTCCTCAGAGGATCCACCTTATTACTGACAAATCGATCAATACCAGTCAGTTTATCGCCCTGGCGAGACTGCATGTTATTTATGATCTCTTAAGTGATTTTGTGAGTACTGCGTCACGCAACAAACATGGCAAATTGTATGATTTGGTTGGTTGCTTTTTTTACGCCGCACTCAGCAATATTCCAGCTATATGACGGCGGTCTGTAAATAATCGAGTCTGGACCAGACAATCCAGTGATTGACATCATGAACATCGATCCACGCAATGGGGACCGATGACATGCATCAACCAAGTCAGCGAGCCTGACCCCTCCCGATCCCGTTAGTCGCCTTTTACGGCAAGCATGGGTTGCTTCAGACCTATTCTAACCCGGATCTTATATATAATGTGTGTGTGTGTGTGTGTGTGTGTGTGTGTGTGTGTATTCATAGTAAGTCGGTGTGAAAACGTCACGTACAAAACACACAGCAATAAACACAAGCATCTATCATTCATTTGGCATAAAAGTCGAGCATTTTGGAATAAATAACACCAGTATTGCAATTTCTATGCCATCCATGTATTTGGCATCTACTGAAGTAGGCATGACTGGAATATTGCTAAAGCGGCGTCACGTCATATTTACTCAATCACCAATGTAATTGTTTTAACCCGGGGGGATTCCTGTTTAGAATAGAATACCCCATGCTAGTTGTAAGACCCACGTATCGGGTGGTCAGAATGGTCACCAGCTTGGTCAAGACTCGAGTATTTAGACAGCCATTATATAGCTGGAATATTGCTGTCTGTGGCATGAAATAACATTCATTCACAAAGTCAGAGTATGCATACTGTTGTTTGCAGCATTTGTTATAGGACAGTCTACAATATGTAGGGTGCTTAAACAACATTCATTAGATCATTCAGTATTGGTATGTATTGGCTGCAGAATATTTCTCAGTGGGTCAGTTTGATTTATCCAAAAACGATTGTCACGGCTTGAAAGCTTGATGTTTGAGGATAGCCCGAAATGATGAAGGTATTGGACGTTACCACTAAGGTGAAAGACCCGTGAAGATCCGGG